TCTCAAGCTGGAACTAGCATACAGCTCCCAAGACTGGCTTCCTATGGGGAATGAAGCTGGCATGTCCCTGGCTGCTGTGCAGCTGGAGAAGCCCCAGGCACTCAGCTTCTCAGTACAAACTCTGGAGTCCAAATACCCTCATCTGCTGCAGTTCACCAATATGGGAGTTCTGGAACTGGAAGTGTAGATTCTGTGAATCCCAAGTATACCAGACACTGCTCCCTCCCTTCCCCTTCAATACTGCTGTTCTCAGCTCTGTGAGGTACTAACCACCACCCTGGTTTTGCAGGGCCTAAATCTCCCATCATCACAGGTTTAAATCCTCTGCTTCGTATTTGCTTAAAACATCCTGGAAGTGTGACCCATGCTAACATGACTTTTCCTGTCCAGAGGACTCCTGGAAGTCCTATTTTCCAAGTTTCTTACTAGCTGATTGCTCCCTTCTTTGCCCAACACAATAAGGTGATTCCAAAGAACTGAAGAGAGACAGGAGTCTATCTTCTTTCTACACCAGTCAGTCCTTGTCTTGATCACTTTATCCCTTTCTTTCATTAACATGCACATTTGCATGTACACAGAGCTCTGGAAGGATCTTCTTATCTGAAGAGTATGGAAATATTTTCTGAATTCATGGAATTATCCTTTCCATTGAGTGATGTTCAAACCGCAGATTGGTCTCTGCCTTCCCAGATGTCTTCTCGCTGCTTGGCTTCCAACCGTCTTCTTTCTGTAAATTAGGGCAGTGTTAAAAGTGGCAGTGTATGTCATATAACCAGTGACTTTCCCTTAATCCCAATTACAAAGCAAACTAATCAAGAGAGAGCTGCATTTCCTGGTCTTCTCTAACTGGATAGTTAATATCTTTAACTTTCCAAGTACTTGGTTAAATGGAAATGTTACTATTACTACTTAATAGAAAGAGAAAGATCTGGAGCTAATAGAAATAAAAAGTATATGGAATAAGTCAGAAATCTAGTAGGACCCAGATTCTAGTCTTGCTGATAATTTATTTTAATTCTATTTCTCAACTGTGTTAGTGCTTCCATATAATTGCCCATTAGTCCCAGTTTACTGATCTTTCCATATATTTCAATAATCTTCTTCCAACTTCTTGCTCAAATGGAGGTGGTAGGCCCTGGGCGTTAGTTACATCTTATTACAATCTTACAGAAAAAATATTTCAGAGGGAAACTGAATTTCAGTATTTTCAGAGCACTTTTAGGAACCAGAAATCTTCTGGAATATACAATTCCAAAATGGAAAAATGGCCACACATCATGGAGGAAAACTAAGGACTATTTCTAAAAACAAAAAATGCACATATCTGGGCAATCCATCTTTAATTTTTAACATAAAACCCTAGTTTTATTTAACAATTTCACCAAAATGGGTAAAATACAGACCACACATGAATGAAGTGGCCCAAGCACTTCATTAGGTGACATAATACCAGTTCTAATTTCATAGCTTGCCATTTATCTTGACACCATAAAATGTAGATGACAAGTCTAAATTCTTCTTCCCAAGGGCTATTATTTCAGATAATGTCTGTAAAGATTTCTCAAGTCATAAACCAGGGGGATTATGGAAAACAAGGTGAGTTTAGAGTTAACATTTGCTATTCATATCTTTTCCAAATCAGCCAAACCTCTTATAAAATTCCTGTACTAAAATATCTGACTGTACTTTAAGGGCAAAGAACTTTGTCAGGAAGTTGACTGGCACTTGTACATGTGAGAAAGAGAAATTCGCTGCTATTTGGGCACCATCTTGTGGCATGACCAGATATAGCAGCAAAGTTACAAGAGGCAAAAATTATGGGGGTCAGCAAATTCAGTGCCCTGTGACTTGGCTTTATGAATTGGGTTGGGATTCTCTAGGAAACAGCACATTTCTTAGGAAGGTACTGTCCTGATCTCACAAACAGGAAAGTTAGGAGGGTATCTAAAGGCAAAGGCAACCTTATAGGAAAACAATCAAACACTGGTTCTGGATTCTAAGAAAAAGAACCCAGAAAAGTGAATTACTAGAACTCAAAAGTTTTCAATAAGCTCAGAAAGGAAATATGGGAAGAGTGGCTCAGAATCCACAATTCTAAAATCAAAGTAGTTCTGAAAACAAAGTTTTGTTTTTAAAGTCTGGGCCAAAACTCATTTGCTGATAAATCTAACCTGAAGGATATATGACTATTTATAGCCTTCACATATGCCATTTAGGGTGACTAGTCATGCACTCTGTAGCAGAAATATCAGTGTTAATGTGTCTGATTTTGGTGTTATGAAACAAGTATTAAGATAACCATAATATCTTTCTAAAATTAGAATATTACAAAATTCTGAAACATTTCCTGCCCTAATGCTTTCTGATAAAAGACTGTAGATCTCAATTAACAAATGTAAATATAAGAAGAAAGTCTAGTTGTAAACCATATGAAATAACCAGTAAGATTAGGGAGACAAATTGAGAAGCACAAAGAAATAATAAAAATGTGAGACATACATTTAGAAGTATAGAACATGATTAGAATAGAAAAATATGTTAGAATGAGACAAAAATATTTTCTTCATTTTAAAAAGTAAATGAAAGGTTGGAGGGGGGTTTAAGTGATTTGCCTATGGTTGCATTATCAGTGAAAAACTGACGCTGGAACCCAGGTCCATACATAATTCTCAAACCAGCATATTTTCCACTATTCTGATATCTGAAAATATCTACAAAGAAAATTAAAAAAATGTGAAAATATATTGACAGAAAGATAAAGAAACATGCTGTCCCTGTATTAAATGGAAAGGAAAGCAGATAATAGCTGATAGACTGCATGAGAAAAGCTTATTAACTTTACCTCCAACCTTTAAAGAAAGTAAACTAAGTAGAGAGAAAGAGCAACAGCAGCCTTAAGAGCAAGGAATTAAGCAAGAATGGAAGAATTAGTATGAAATGATTAACCTAAAGCACTCACATAACTGACCTAGAAAACTTTCATTTCCCAGCAAAATAAATAGGCAGAAATCTATATACACTGAGTGGCCAGATTATCAGGACCACCTGACGTTTGCAGGCAAATTAGCTATAATTTCGCGCTGAAGTTGCTAGAGGGCCAGACCATTATAAATAGGGAAGCAGGTTGTTTACCACAACAGAAGTGATTTTTTTCTAAAGATATGGGCAAACAATGCGATTTAACAGCCTTTGAAAGTGGGATATGTGTGTGTGTGTGTGTATGTGTATATATATATATACACACACACACACACACACACACATAATGAGTGGCCAGATTATTATGACCACCTGACGTTTGTAGGCAAATTAGCTGTACACTGCATCTTATGGGATATGGAAGCCGAAGGCCTGTTCGAACACCTTTGCTATCTGCAGTTACTAAGATAAAACGTCTCCAATTCGCACAGGGACACAAAGACTGGACAGTCGAGCATTGGAAAAAAAGTCATGTGGTCTGATGAATCATGTTTCCAGTTGCATCATGCAGATGGCAGAGTGAGAATTTGGCAGAAACAGCATGAAAGCATGCACCCCACATGCATGAGTACAACCCTTCAAGCAGGTGGGGGCAGTGTTATGGTTTGAGGCATGTTTTCCTGGCACGATTTGGGCCCTTTAATTTGTGTGGAACAACGTCTGAATAGCACAACATACCTAAGTATCGTTGCTGATCAAATTCATCCTATCATGTTGATGGCGTATCCCAACGGAGATGGCTTCTTCCAACAAGACAAAGCGCCATGCCACGGTGCTCATATTGTGCAGGAGTGGTTTCAAGAACATGAGGGAGACTTTACCTTGCTTAGGTGGCCCCCACAATCACCAGATCTCAATCCAATTGAGCATTTGTGGGACGAAGTTAAATGAGCCGTCAGGCAGCTGGTTCCACAACCATCAAATCTCACAGAACTGAACAGTGCTATTCATCAGGCAGGTGTCAGATTCCTCGCCTCACCTTTCAACATCTCGTGGAGTCAATGCCAAGAAGAATAACCGCAGTATTAAAGGCAAAATGTGGCCCAACAAAGTACTGATGGGTCATAATAATCTGGCCACTCACGTTCAAATATATCCCACATTCAAAGGCTATTAAGTCGCGTTGTTTACCCATATCTTCAGAAAAAAAATCACTTCTGTTGTGGTAAACAACCTGCTTCCCTATTTATAATGGTCTGGCCCTCTAGCAATTTCAGCATGAAATTATAGCTAACGTGCCTACAAAGGCAGGTGGTCATAATAATCTGGCTACTCAGTGTATATAAAAGCCTAAGCGACCGATATGACTGAACAACTGTAATGACTGGTCGACCAGTTGCTATGACACACACTGACCACCAGGGGGTGCAACACTCAACACAGGAGTTGCCCCCTGGTGGTCAGTGCGCTCCCACAGCCAGACTCCTGTGGCCCCTCCCCTCGGCTAGCAGACCCCCATTGGCCCCTGGTGCTAAACCATTGGTAGAGACCTGCTTCTGGGCTGGGGTTTCATATATAGCAGAGCAGCTTCCTCACTGTGATCTATTGAAAGTCAGCCTTTGACACAAGGGTTTGTTTTGCTTCCATCCTCTCCTGCCGCCACTGCGGCAGAGAGGGAAGGAGGAGGAGGGGAGGCGGGAAACTGCGTGGTGGCGGGGCGCCGATGGAAGCCGGTGTCCATTTCTTCCGCACCAAGCTGGGTGACCGTTGCCTCCTCTCCTGAGGCCCTGGGCTGCGGCAGGGAATTGGGGGTGGGTGGTGGCGGATGTGGCCTTTTTCCCGGGGGTGGGGGGGGTGCCAAGGGCCGGCTCTCTCCTTGGGGCCAGCAGCTAAGCTCCCGTGATCCTCCCCCTGGCTGGCCAACCTCCTGCAGTCCCTTCCCCCCAGCCGGCCAACGGGAACCCTCCCACCACCACCCCTGGCACGAATTTGTGCACGAGGCCTCTAGTCCTATATAATAAAAGCATAGTTTGCAAATTGTCCCCTCGACCAGGAGGTCATCTGGGAGTTTGACCAGGGGGCGGGGCTAGCCGGGGGAAGGAAAGGAGTTCCCGGACAGCAGCCTCTAGGGACCCTACCGGTGCACAAATTCATGCACTAGGCCTCTAGTATTATTATAATGAATAATTCCCCAGGAATCACATAAATAATAGTATCCTGAATTTGTAAAGCACTTTCTGAACATTTTTACACATGTCAACTTATGTTGTACTCAAAAAATTCTTCATGGTTAGGTAAGTCGCTTTGTTGGAAACTGGGGTACACAGACATGCCCATGGCCACACAATTAGTTAATGGCAAAAACTCTATTAAACCACATTCCTAAATGATCTGCTCTTAATCATTCTAGTTAAAGGTTGTTAGAATAGAATGGTATCCAGACATTCTCTATTTCTACTGAGGAAGAAAGAAGAGGAATCTGGATTAAACTATCATACAGATTTAAGTTAGACCAAAGGAAAAATTTTCTGACAGTGAAAACTGCTAACCACTGCAACAGATAACTAAAAAGAAGCCTGTCATATTTTATTTTCTGAAGACCTTAAAATTTTCTAAGTACTTTTTTTTCTGGTAAAAAAATTTTTAATTGCCCCAAAATCCTTTAAGAGGGATTACAAGTATTACAGAAGGAGCATATATTTTAATTAGAGAGGGCTAGGCTAAAATGTCTCCTCTCAATTTACCAGCTGGGTAATCTTAGGCCAGTTACTTCTCTGGGCCATCTCTAAACTGGAAATAAAGCCATCCATCACAGTTATTTTAATGTTACATTACCTGAAGTTTCCTTCCAATCCTTTTAATCAACTAAAACCTTGCCATGGCTTTTCATTTTAAAATCTTCAAAACTAAAGTGAGAGGAGAAACAACTGCTTAGAATACCAGGCTCATATTTTCTTCCTTACTCAAAGCAGGTATCTTCACTAGATTGTCAGTCTTAAGGAGAGAAACAAAATCTTATCAACTCTCTAATTCTCCTAAATATGGATCATAATGCTCTGCACAGGGCAGGTGTTCAATAACTGGCAAATGTAATTGGTTGAGTATTATATAAAATTTAAAATAAAAAGAATAATGACAAAAAATATGCCCTGGAATCTGCACTGGACTCACCATATAATATTTACTAGTATTAATAAAAACAGGAGCAGCTAACATTTGTCACATACTAGTTACAGACCTACAGAAACAGAAAGGAGAGTATTCCTATGATTTTTTAAGATGACTAAGTATCTTTCATGTTTTTCTCACTTGATTTCCATTTTATGGATGAGGAAACAGAGAGTAACTAATTTGCCCAAGATCACACAGCCAATAAACAGAGAGCTAAGATGTAGACCCAGGTCATCTGATGCCAGAGTCTATATTATCCACTATGCTATACTGATTCCTCCTCCCCTGGTGGAAGTAAGTCTGGAACAAAAATATCTGTTCTTAACACCTAAATAGTACTTTTAATTTCCACAGAGAATAATTTGCTAAGTGAGAAGCCTTGGGTACATGTAGACAGGTAACAGAATCTGCTCAATACCAGGTATATAAAGAAGCCAGAAAGAGGTAAATCAGGATTTTTCCATATGTATTTTCTCAGATATGAAGAATGTGAAAACTCTGAAGCATAATAAAGGAAGAGTCCTCTATAATTTGTACAGCCTCAGCACCAACAGATAATAGGAACTTATCACAGTGGGTCTCTATTCACACCTAAAGGTCTTCATTTAAAAAGTAACAGGGTCCCACTTAACCAACAGTCTCATTTTTAATTACATCACTGAAATGTCCTTTGTATAGCTGAGTACTTAAAACAAATACTTCAAGTGGAGCTGCATGCTGATGTGCCTAGAGAGTAGAGGGAATACTCAAATGACATCCATGGATAACTGCTGCTGCAGTATCGGTACAGATACACAGAAAAGCATGATATACTGAAAAAAAAATAAGTCATATCTCTTTCTATAGATATTACTGTTATTACCCTCTATTGATCTTCTGATAATTGTGGTTATCATAGAGAAATCACTTTCTTCAAAGATAACCAATTAATAAAGGGTTAAGGACATGGCACATTCTCCTTTAGCCTAATTATGTTATTGCCATCTATAAAAAGCAGATGAATCCTACCCTATTTCTATTTTCTATGAGGCCTTTGAGTAAACCATGCATTGGGAAAATAAAAACTGCCTCATTATAATCATTAAAGTTTCAAAAATTAGTTGGGTTATACTCTGAAACTCTAGCACCTGCCATGACACACTCTGTCACTGGTTATCTGGCCAGTGCAGCCGAGAGTCTGTAAGCTCCCTGCTATCACCAACGCGAGTGGACAGGAAGTATTAATGGCCTTGTTAGACTGGCAATAAACAAAGAGTTTGAAACTTCAATTCGTTTAATGAAAAAATGAAGTTACTTTCAGTAAGTGGTATTTTCAGAATAAATTGCCTTCACAGATTCCACAGATCATGGGCTAAGGCAATAAGAATGTCTAAAGCCTGAAGGTTGATAAAAAGTACTTAAGTACAAAGCCAGAATCCCAAACCTTTACAGACAAGTCAATAGCCTACAATGGGAAGAGAGATTTTAACCTCAACTTAAAACTTACAGGTAAAGAAAAATACTGCTTGTGAATCAGTTGAAATATTTTCTGAGAACTCTTGTACTGAAAAATAATCAGAAGCTAGGTTAATCTAGATGTACTCTAATGGAGCCACTCAGGACTGTCTTTAAGAAAAAAAATAACTCCTACAGTTATCATCATCAATGCCAGTGGCTGGCTTTTTCTTAATTTGTCTTCTATGTAAGATCTCAACCATTTGATAATAGCATGACCATCATGGCCCAGTAAAACCACAGCAAATAATGTTTTCTACCTAGAAGACCATATGTTTGCACACAAAAAATTTTTCTCAGCCTTTGGAGCAAGAACTATAGAAAAAGCCATGGATGAGCTGAGAAGACCGAACCTATCTTGGAAAACAATAGTAAGTAAATGGATTACGATGCCTTGGTGTGTGGAATAGGCAGGCAATTTCAATATACTTGGGAGGCTTCTCGGAAATGAAAATGACCAAAAAAAATGATCTTCATGTTGTGTTTTTTTTTAACGCATGCAATATAGTTAGCTCTAAAGCAGCGGTTCTCAACCTGTGGGTCGAGACCCCTTTAGGGGTCGAACGACCCTTTCACAGGGGTCGCCTAAGACCATCGGAAAACACCTATATAATTACATACTGTTTTGTGATTAATCACTATGCTTTCATTATGTTCAATTTGTAACAATGAAAATACATCCTGCATATCAGATATTTACATTATGATTCATAACAGTAGCAAAATTACAGTTATGAAGTAGCAATGAAAATCATTTCATGGTTGGGGGTCACCACAACATGAGGAACTGTATTAAAGGGTCGCGGCATTAGGAAGGTTGAGAACCACTGCTCTAAAGGGACTAGAGAAGAACACCATCCCTTCAACTCACCTCGGGCTTCTTGCAGTTTCTTGAGCTCTGCTTCCCGTTCAGTTTTGCTCTGCTTACTTCGAACCCCAAGGGCATTGATGACTAGCCTTCTAGCTAGGGCTGCAGAAGTCTCAGGACGCTCCTTTGCTGGCTGGAGGAACTCTGAATGAGAGAAAGAAAGTAAGGAAGAGAAAGCACTCTAGCTCCAAATGATTTAACTCAGTAATTAACATACAAAATAGACTAACAAGGGCTGCATCAGCAGTAATTAATTCGAGCCTGATAGATGATCAGAGGAAATTAACATGGCAAAGCACAAACAACCCTGGCTTCTTTATCTGTATTAACACAATTTCTTACAGTGACTCTATCAAACAACTAAACACAGAGGTAAACTATATAAGGATGTCATTAGAAAATGACTGCTGCATTGCTTACAGTTAGCACCCATTCTCTCCAAGTGGCTGCTCAGATGCCACATTTACTACACAGCCTTTTCTATATTATACTTTTTTTAAAAACATACGTCTTTTAACATTAAAAATAAAAGTCATATGTCTTTACTACTCTGGATGCTGTTCAAGTGCTGAAAAAACAGTAAACTACTATTAACAAGAAAAAAAACACCTGACATTAGGCTCACCAGCATAAGCTCTAGCTTTGGCCTTGGCTGCTCTTGTGGCCTGTGACAAGGGCCGGATCTTCACCATGGTGTGTTTACTACCCAGAGCATCACGAGCTGCAAAGAGAAAGAAATACAAGGAGGCAGAGGACATGAAAAAGAGCGATGCAAATGAAAATTTAAGACTAGCTCTTAAAAAGTATTCCCTAGATTTTATGTGCTTTTTATTTTTTCTTTCATGGCAAGCAAAGGAGACGGTAAGCTCTAGAAAGTCTGTAAGGAACAACCTGGCGGTGGTTATTTTAGACCAGAGATCAACAAACTATGGCTCTGTAATCAAGTTCAGCCAATCACCTGACTTTTGTAAATAAAGTTTTACTGAAATAGAGCCATGCCCATTGGTTTGCATATTGTCTATATAGCTGGTTAAAGGGGCTACTGCAAATTCATTTGTCTGGGGGAAAAAATCTTAAATATTATAAGATTTAGTCACACAGGCTTCTTAAATATCTACCTATAATCTGTTTATGTACTATTTTTTTTTTAAATATATTTTATTGATTTTATACAGAGAGGAAGGGAGAGAGACAGAGAGTCAGAAACATCGATGAGAGAGAAACATCGACCAGCTGCCTCCTGCACATCCCCCACCGGGGACGTGCCCGCAACCCAGGCACATGCCCTTGACCGGAATCGAACCCGGGACCCTTCAGTCCGCAGGCCGACGCTCTATCCACTGAGCCAAACCGGTTTCGGCGTTTATGTACTATTGAAACAAACAATTATGCAGCAAATAACCTTGAAAGAAGCTGCCTATTTCTCTAAACCATTGGATTAAGGTGAAAAGGGAGAAGAGAAGCACATGAGTACCAAAATACCATGCCTCAAAAACCTGTATCTGCCAAATACCCTATGCTGGCTGAATAAAATGCCGGTTGGCTGAAATAAAAGGGAACTTAGGACAAGTAGACAATAGACAATAAAAAAAATAGACAATAAAAAAAATAACACTGAAATCCATTGAGTAAATACCTGTAATTGGACTGGAGAATACTCCTAGGGCATGTGTGTCATCCACCCATTTAATATCAAATCCTTTCTTCCTGCAACAAAAAAACACAATTTTTATTTCATAAAATTTACTTTATGAAACATCTTTCAAACAGAGTCTCATAAAGCATTTCAGGATGAGAGAGAAACACTCAACAGCACATTGGTGGAATGGGGATAATGAAACAAAAACAGCTTGGAGGATAGAAGCCTCTGAATTTTAAAAGCAATAATACCATTATAAAGAACTACCTGGGAGTATTTTACATTCTCAGTTATTTTATAGGCATCAACTAATTAATCCTCACAAGTCCCTTAGAGAGGTAAAGTACTTAACACACTATTTTACAAGAGATGTTCTTAAGAGCACAGAACAAGAAGAGGTATGAAGGGGAAGCAAAGGAGGGTTAGAAGAATAAGAGAGGAGGCAGAAGGCAGGGAAGGTCACCTGGATTAAATGCATATGTAGGCTTCGGACAGAGACGGAGAGAGAAACAGAGAGACAAATCATTCAAAAAAAAAAAAAAAATCAAGTAATGGAGAGAAAGTAGAACTGTTATCAGAAAGCCTGCCTGCCCTAGTCTAAAAAACACCTTTATTTTGGAGCACAGTTATATAGTTAACACAAGGACTATCAGGATGATGGCATGACAGCTATTTTTTTTTTTTAGCTGGGACAGTGGTTCTCAACCTTGGCTGCACATTAGAATCACCTGGGAATCTTTTTAAAATCCAGATTTCTGGGCCTCATCCTCCGGAAATTCTATTTCTTTGTTACTAATGTTGTGGCCTCACCCCATAACAAAGAAACAGAATTTCCAGAGGGTGAGGCCCAGAAATCAGGATTTTAAGAAGATTCCCAGGTGATTCTAATGTGCAGCCAAGATTGAGAACTACTGAGCTAGGAGCTTAAAATTGCTCATGGACTCAATATAGTACTGTGGAAAGAGCACAGTGTTTAAGCCTCAGATATAAATGGAATCAGGTTCTGCTATCCATCCTGAGTTTAACCTCTCTTGAAGCTAGGTCTCCTCATCTGTAGAAATAGGCATGGTACTTCCTCACAGAGTTGTAAAAATGGAAATAAGATCATCCATGACAAGGCAAAGAGCACATGGTATTGAGCACTCAGGGGGTATTTAGTAAATGAATGGCACTGATTATTTTTTATTATTAATAGCAATATTCATAAAAAATTATTAATATTAATGAAGATGGTGATTAATGATTAAAACACAAAGCTGCCTGTAGTATCTGACTCACAGGCATTATTACAGATCATGGCCTTTTCTATTTTTATAAAGTACTATAAAGAAAAAAAGTCCACTGCTAAAATATTTTCCCTCTTTAAAAACAAATGAAGAAAAAAAATTCCTTTGATAAAAAAATTCGTTTAAGGGAAATAGAATAAAGGAAACTTTGATGGTTAGTTAGAAAATTTCCTAAATGTAAGGATAAGTTTAACCATAGCATAAAGTGACCACAGGGGTTGGAGACTGTGAAAAAATTCAATAGTAAAAATATATATCATAAGATAGTTTACAAAAGGATACAAAAAGATCTAGATGTATTCTGGAGAATCTTTTAGACTTTAGAATTTATAATCCTTTAAAATACCTCTCTTTCGAGGATGTTTTTAGATTTGATAAGAAAAAAGGTCTTACAGGTAAGATTAAAAAGAAACAAATCAAAGGGAAGTTAATAACTCATTAGAATTAACAAATCGTCCAAGTTTAGACATCAAAACTGATCCTTGGTTTTAAAAGTCATTGTTATTAATGACAATCTAAGGTAGTTCTAATTTGTGATTTAATCTTGACTGCTTTTTAAAATCTATTATACATTTTATATGGAATAGGCTCTGGATATTGGGTCTTAATTGTCTATAAAAACTTAGTTGAATGCATTGGAAGACCAGAGAAAGGTGAAGTCACTAAAAATCCTAAGAAACTACTAACAACTGTTTGGGCAAAACAGCATAAAAGACAGAGTAAACATTTAACCCTATAAGCAATATGCACTCAGATGATTCTGAAAGTATGTTAAAGTTCTTACTCCACTTAAAAGAAATGAAACTGGAATAATATGATGCTAATATACAAAAAGTCTTTTACCAATAGACAAATAAATTAAAGAAAAAAAAAAAAAAGGCCTTGGCACTACATCAAAGACTGTCAAGTGAATGGGCACTTATAAGTGTTGTTAAACTAGCTGAAACATGTAACAATCATTTTTTATCATTCTCCACTTGACTTTCTAACTGAGTGGTCAGAATAACCTCAAATCAATAATTTAATTTACAGTGTTCCTGAACTGTTAGTGCCCTTGGTGCTTGGTAGAAAAAACACAAATCCTTTCAGGAGAAATCCTCTTCTTTTATTGGAGGCATCAATTTCCATAAATAAAATTGTAAAGAAAATGGAGAGCTCTTGGAACTAAATCTGCAATCTTGGAACTAAAAAGCAAGGCACTATGAGCGAAAATTTGATGAAATAGAACTAAAAAAGACTTCAGGTAAAGTAGTTACCAGATATAAACTATATACAGTCTATGTTTAATATACTTGAAGAAATTTTTTAAATTTTGAAAATACTTAGAGAAAACAAGACACTAAAAACTGACTATGCATATTTGAAGAAGACAGAGAACTTTGAAAAATTAGAAACATAAAATGAAATTTAAAAATTCAATGGACAGATTTAACAGCAAATTAAACAGCTGAAGAAAAAATCAGTGAACTGGAAACCAGAGCTAAAGAAATTACTCAGAATGAACAGAAAAAAATAAAAAATATGACAGTTAACATGAGAATCAAGTGAGGGGTCTAATATACATTTGATTGGCATCCTAGAGAAGGCAGAAGAGAGAGAAACTGGCAGAGGCAATATTTGAAGAGATAATGTGTGAGGTACTCTCCAAAACCAATAAAAAACATTAATTCACTGATTTAAGAAGCCCAAATAATCTCAGAATGAATAAATAAAAAGAAACACAAAGCCTCATATTGAAAATTCAGAACACCAAAAACAAAGAGAAAGCCTTAACAGCATCCAAAGGAAAAAAAAAATTACATACAGAAGCAACAGTTGCTAGACTTTGAGATGACTTCTCATCCTCCACAAGGAATGCCAGGAAACAGTAAAATAATAACTTCAAGTTTCTGAGAGAAAAGTAACTACCAATCTATAATTCTATATCCTGCAAAAACGTCTTTCAAAAATGAAGTTGAAATAAAACCATTTTAAAAAAAAATTACTTTCTTACCAGCAGACTATCATTAAAGTAAATGCTAAATAATTGTCCCACACTTACATAAAAAGATTTCAGATGGTAGGTATGAGGTGCAAGAAGATATAAATGAAGAACACAGAAAATGGGTAAATCTGAATGCTGAATATATAAAACAGTAACATCAAATAACGTTTAAAAGAAAAAAATTAAAAAGAATCACAATGCTGCCCTAACCGGTTTGGCTCAGTGGATAGAGCATCGGCCTGCGGACTGAAGGGTTCCAGGTTCGATTCCGGTCAAGGGCATGTAACTTGGTTGTGGGCACATCCCCAGTAGGGGTTGTGCAGGAGGCAGCTGATCGATGTTTCTCTCTCATCGATGTTTCTAACTCTCTTTCTCCCTTCCTCTCTGTAAAAAATGAATATATTTTTTTAAAAAATAATAAATAAATAAAAAAGAATCACAATGCTCAATCATAATCTATGTATATAAAAGCCTAAGCAACTGGTCAACCAGCCAGCCGGTAGCTATGACACACACTGACCATCAGGGGGCATATGCTCAATGTAGGAGCTGAAACCACAGGCATGGAAACATGGAACATACCAATGTATCTCAGAGGGAAGGGGAGAGAGGGGAGGGTGGGAAGAGATTAACCAAAGATCTTATATGCATACTAGAGGCCCAGTGCATGGATTCATGCACTGGTGGGGTCCCCTCAGCCTGGCCTGCGCCCTCTCATGACTCAGGACCCCTTGGGGGGTGTCAGGGAGCTGGTTTTGACCCAATCCCCACAGGCCAGGCAAAGAGACCCCACCGGTGCACAAATCCATGCACTGAGCCTCTAGTAGCATATAAAATGGGGTGGAGATGAAGTGAAGAATGGAATTGGGGAATGAAGCTAAAAGCTCTTACAGTGTTTGGGAAGAGTGTGAAAATACTAACTTTAGCCACTGATAAACATGCATTTTGTAATTTCTAAAGTAACCACCAAAGAATAGAAACAGAGCATCATTTCCCCCCAAAATAGAATGAAAAAAATACCTCATCCATCCAAAAGAAGGCAAGAAAGAGGAGAAAAAGATGGAACAAGTAAACATACAAAAAAGGATGTCAGGCATACATCCAAATACAGTTAACCCTTGAACATGGATGGTTTTGAACTTGCATGTGAATTTATTAATATTTATGTTTGAATTTCTTAAAACCTATAGTATCAATAGATATAGTACAGTATTATAAACTAGAGGCCTGGTGCACGAAATTCGTGCATGGAGGGGTGTGTGTCCCTCAGCCCAGCCTGCACCCTCTCCAATCTGGGACCCCTCTCACAATCTGGGACTGCTGGCTCCCAACCACTCGCCTGCCTGCCTGATTGCCCCTAACTGCTTCTGCCTGACAGCCTGATCACCCCCTAACCACTCCCCTGCCAGCCTGATCAACGCCTACCTGCTCCCCTGCCGGCCCAATTGCCCCTAACTGTCCTCCCCTGCAGGCCTGGTCGGCCCCAACTGCCCTCCACTGCTGGCCCAGTCATCCCTAACTGCCCTCCCTCGCCAGCCTGGTTCCCCCAACTGCCCTCCCCTGCAGGTCTGGTTCCCCCCAACTGCCCTCCCCTGCAGGCCTGGTTCCCCGCAACTGTCCTCCCCTTCAGACCTGGTCGCCCCCAACTGCCCTCCTCTGCTGGCCCAGTCACCCCTAACTGCCCTCCCCTGCAGGCCTAATCGCCCACAACTGCCCTCCTCTGCTGGCCAGGTCAACCCTAACGGCCCTCCCCTGCAGGCCTCATCACCCACAGCTGCCCTCCCCTGCTGGCCATCTTTGACCATATGGGGGTGGCCATCTTGTGTGTTGAAGTGATGATCAATTTGCATATTACCTCTTTATTTTATAGGATGTACTGTCTTTGTCTTATGATTTTCTTAGTAACATTTCTTTTCTCTAGCTTACTTTCTTGTGAAAATACTGTACATATACTTATAACATGCAAAATAAGTGTCAATCAACTGCTTATGTTATCAGTAAGGCTTCCAGTTAACAGTAGGCTCTTAATAGTTAAGTTTTTGGAGAGTCAAAAGTTATATGTGGATTTCTGACTGTGTGGGTTGGTCTGCACTCCTAACCTCTACCTTATTCAAGAGTATATCAATAATTACAATATAAAATGAACTAAATACACTATGAAGACAGATTTAGAAGTCATCATTAATACTGGTCTTCCTAACTGCTAAAAATTGTCTAGAAAGGCTATTTAGCATTTGTAAGGATTTAGCAGAAGAGTGGTTTAATACACAACATTTCTAACGGACGTGGAAAAGACAATAAGTAAACTTGATGCTAAAGTTAACAACGGAATATGAAAACATGAGATAATTTTTCAGAAGACATTTTAAAGAAAACTTCATCCCACTTTCCCTAACATCCCCAACCATTTGCAATACTTACTGATAACTGCAGAAAACCCGTAGGAGGTCTTCAGTACGAAATTCTTGAGGGAAGTCATAAATTTCAATGACATGTGGGAATTCACAATCACTGAGGTCAATATCAGGAACTTCACTGTTATAATAATCAAATCTAGGTTCCTGGATGCTTTTTGTATTCTTCATATTCCCTGATAACTAAGAAAGAAGACGCATATTAGTGACTGTCACATCAAGCCAGAGCATTATATAATACTAGTACTAGAGGCCCGGTGCACAAAATTCGTGCACTGGTGTGTGTGCGTGCGTGCGTGCGTGCGTGCGTGCGTGTGTGTGTGTGCATGCGTGTGTGTGAGTTTTGTGTGTCCCTCAGCCCAACCTGCGCCTTCTTGCAGTCCATGACCCCTCAGGGGATGTCCACCTGCCGGCTTAGGCCCCATCCCCCCAGCGGCAGTCAGGGATCCCTCGCTCCTTACCGCCCACCTGCTCACTGCTCCTTACTGCTCAGCTTGCTGTTCTTTAGCGCTGCCGTGGAGCTGGGAGAGGCTCCCGCCACTGCCACTGTGCTCGCCAGCTGTGAGCCTGGCTTCTGGCTGAGCAGCGCTCCCCCTGTGGGAGTGCACTGACCACCAGTGGGTAGCTCCTTGCATTGAGCATCTGCCCCCTGGTGGTCAGTGGGCATCATAGTGACCGGTCATTCTGCCAGTCGTTCCACCATTCAGTCAATTTGCATTATTAGGGTTTTATTATATAGGGTTCTCCCCAAACAATCTTCCTCCTAGTCTCCATGTTCCTATTATTTAACTTTTAACATTGTCTCTGTATTAATGCTGTTCATAAATACAATGACCAGGGTTCTATCACCCAGTTTATATAATACATGTGAAATACTTGAAAAGGTATTGAATTTCTAGCAAAGACAGGCAATGCATGAAACTTAACTTGCATCTATCAACTACTGTGTGAGAAAATGTGGAATGATTAATGTGGTGAGTTACAAATGGCACATCGTGGAAAATGAATTTCAGAAAATAACTGAAGAGATCAATTAATAATGTTTGTATTATTTGAGCTTACTGATCAGACTCATCTCATAGTCTTTCTTTTGGAAGTGAACAAAAACAAAAACTTAAGAATAAAAACACTTTGTTAGTCCACCTTTTGTTGACCTTAGCTTACAAAGGAATTTGTTAAGGCAAATTTAATTGGTTCAAGTAATTACAATTAAAGTCCCTAGAATGAGAACTACCTTAAATAATTGCCATATAGCAGGTTAGTAAAGAAATTAATAGTAATAAAAATATTTAAACATTCTAGGAACCTCTCATGCATTTGGGGTCTCTCTCTCATATATGCGAAGTTCCCATACATATGTACGTACTAAATTTGGCTATTTTCTTTTTCTAAGAAACAAACAAACACCCAACAACCTTAAAATTCTACTATCCTATGAAAAAACTAAAGGCTATTAACTATTTTACACTAGAAACAGAAGGGAAAGGGAAAAGTGGAAAGTGGCAACAAAGCCATTTTGTCATTCACTTGTTACAGAACCTAGATGCTAATACTGACCATCCAAAGCCTTCAGAGTGTCTTCTTGTTAATTAAAAGCCCAACTAGATGCCTTCAAGCTTTCCCTCTATTATACCATGCCCCTTTTCCCATCAAATGAGGAAATGAGAGTTTGCAATGCCAGGACTGTATTTCCTTTCCTTGGAGAAGTAAAAAATGGATTCAAGAATTTTATTGAGGAGGGAGGAAAGGGGAAAGGTGATTTAAGTAAAACCAACAAAAAATGAAGTGCCTCTAGTTCCGTTTCTCCACTAGGCTTCAGTTTTACATCTTAAAAAATGGGAATAATAGTAATATTTATACCTCATAGACAGCTGTGTGGATTAAATGAAATGATGCAGTAAGTGCTTAGCATACTACATGGCACCTAAATATTCAATGAATTCAACCTTCTTTAAACAAAATTTAACTGAGTGCTGAATCTATTACAGGCCAAGCTATTCCCACTTTTTTTTTTTTTTTAAATCCTCACCTGAGGATATTTTTTCCATTGAATTTTAGAGAGAGTAGGAGGGAGGGAGGAAGGAGTGAGAAAAAGAGGGAGGGGAGAGGACAAAGGGAGGGAGGGGAGAAAGAGAAAGAACCATGTGAGAGAGGCATATCAATTGGTTGCCTCCTGCACACACCCTGCCCGGGGCAGGGATGAACCTGCAACTGAAGTAGGTGCTCTTGACTAGGATTTGAACCCACAATCTTTGTTCCTCGGGTCAACACTCTAACCACTGACCAAACCAGCCAGGGCTTTTTCCACTTTTAGGATGCAGAAAGTACAAAGAGAGTATTCTTACCACCATACCAATAAGAGCAGCTGATCTATAAAATCATAACGTTTCTTGAATTTGCTCAACAAACAGTTGAGAATCCAAGACAACCAAGAAAACTAAAGTCCACAGAATGATAAGTCCCTCCAAAGAGAAACAGAACATATAAACCGTTTGCCTTTGACCTATCATGGGAAGCGGCCACCACACAAGTGAGCAAGAAGATTATCAGCTAAACTTTTAACAAAGTCTTAAAAGCCTAGAGTGGGCTGGTATATCAGTTTAATAACTCAGAGCCCCAGAAACAAGGGGAGTCTTAAATCACTTGCAAGTCCACCCTTAAACCAGGTGCCACATTGTCTTGATTATTGTAGTTTTATTATAATAGCTATGAAATCAGGAAGTTTGAGTCTTTCTACTTTGTTCTTCTGTTTCAAAATCACTTTGGTTATCCTGAGTCCCTTGCATTTCCATTTGAATTTGGGAAGTATCTTAATTTTATTAATCAGAGATGAACATGTGATGTCTTTCCATTATTTAGGTCTTCTTTAATTTCTTCCAACATTTTGCAATTTTCAAAGTACAAGTTTTGTATGTCTTCTGTTAATTCTAATTCTAAATATTTTTTATCCTATTAGAATTGTTTCCTTCATTTCATTTTTGGATTTATGGCGTTGACTTTCAGAGCTACTTTGCAAAAAAAACCAAACAAAACAAAGCACTGCATGTCCATGCATTTACAAACTGGGGCTAAATAATGCATTGTGAAAGGTAAACAATGCATGACTATAAAAATACCTCCGAAATATAAATACTAAGAACTGATTAGAAAGAGAAAGGAAAAGAGGGTGATCTGGCAAGAAAATATGATTAAGGTCCTTTGCTGTAACCTAGTCCGCAAAATTGAATTTGTATAATTATATCCCATTTTTAAGCTAACTATTAAGCATTTTGGCTTCTGGGACTGATTAAATAGCAGTGTTAATAATAGCAAAACATACAATTCTTAGTCTGTATTTCATAGAACAATAAATATAAAACCTACAAGTTAAGTTCCTGGTCAAGGACACATACCTGGGTTGGAAGTTCAATCCCCACCCCCCATCAGGGCATGTGCAGGAGGCAACAAATTGATTTGTCTCTCTAACATCGATGTTTTTCTTTCTCCTCTCTCTCTCTCCCTCTTCCACTCTCCATAAACATCAATAGAAAAAATATCTTCACTCCCCCGTGAGGCTTAAAAAAAAAAAAAAATCAAATATATGTCTGTTAACATGAGCTGGAACTAATAACAAAAGATAGTAACCCTCCTACCAATAAGTTTGCCGATCAGTAGAGAGAGGCACAGAAGCTAAGGAAGTTTTATTTAGACAGTAATAATTCCTTTGTTCTTGTACCAACACTCAGAAGGTTAAAAGAGGTCATGCCAATATCCTTTTCTATATAAATTATCAACTTAAGTCTCTGGGCATCCCATACCATGGCTTTAGAAGATTAAGTGTGATCTACAGAGACTCATCAAGATTCTGGGAGCTCAATAATGGCCTAGCTATGCTCTCTATGCTCCTCAGGCAATTTTAGAGGTTCAAACATCACAGGAAACTGCTTCACATGCCAATGGCTGCCACACCCTACTGTATAGCATACTTTCCTGCCTATTAGAAGTATTAGAAAAAACCTCCATATGTCTAGCCATTGTCAACAAAGAAACAGGCCAGCTGGGAAAAGAGCCAAACATCTTTGGTTGGAAAGTTTTCAAAGTAGGGAGACATTCTGGTTTAACCTTTAATAAAGTATGTTTGGAGTAATACAAATAATAAATTAAGTGTAATAGTAGCCAAAGGACTATTAATGTTATTGGATTTGACATCTTTTAACAACATTATTATTATTACATCTTCTAAAACCCAAAGCACAGGAGACCAAAGTTTAAAGTTAGATCTGCTTCAACATTCTCAATCCATCTCTCCATCTCGTTTTTTGTTCTCATCCATCCTCATCCCTCAACATAGATCCACTTCTTATCAAGCACCTCAGAAGATATCCAAACACAACACCCAGGCACTGGCTGTCTTTGGCTTAAAACACTACATACTCCATTTTCCTGCCATTCCCAGCTTTAGGACATGCTAGTGTCCTCTCTGGCTGTAGTACTATGCTCTTCAAAATATTAAGTAGTTACCTACATTCTTTTGCACCTATTCTAAACAGTGTTAAGACCTGAAAAACAGTTACCCACCTGACTGCCCTGCCCCCTGGATATAAAACCATATCCCTAAGCTACTACACAGAATCCAAGTTCTAGCAGCAATTATGTTGTTTGTTTAATTGATTTCAGAGAGGAAGAGAGGAGAAATACAAACATTAATGATGAGAGAGAATCATTGTTTGGCTGCCTCCAGCACCCCCTCCCACTGGGGATTGAGCCCACAACTCAGACATGTGCCCTGACTGGGAATCGAACCCATGACCTCCTGGTTCATAGGTTGACGCTCAACCACTGAAATACACCAGCCGGGCATCAATTGTGTTTTGAAAGCATCTGGAGGCTGCCTTAAAAAGGAAGAGATCTCTAATTCTCCCCTATAGCCTACATCCATTCAGTGAATATTTAACAAGTTCTACCATGTGTTAAAGGCTGTGTGTGCCATGCCCTTCTTTTGCAGGAAGCTGTCCTTTCTCTATGTGTACCTACCTATGTTCTCTACCCACTCAGGTATTCCCTTTCCCAACTCCTATGAATGCTGCTTCCTTTCTCAGACTAAGACCATCTTCCAATGCGTGGATCCTTAATAACTTCTCTATATTCACCCAAATTCCCCCATTATTGGTATTTCTGAATCCAATTTGATTCTAAAATCTCTGAACAGTTGTTTTTCCTAATTATGGGCTAACAGTAATTTCTAGTTACCACACTCACTTTCTGAAATACATTTAAGTTTCTGTATTACCTTTGAGCAGTGGTTCTCATTTTATGTGCATCAGAATCACTTGATGGGCTAAAGAGTTTATATTTCTAACAATGTTCCAAGTGATGCTCATGCTGTTGGTCCAGGGACCATATTATGGGGACCATTGTCTTTGAGAATCTGATGAAAGCTATGAAAAACTGCACCTATAAAAACTTCATGCAATTTCAAGGGGTTCATGAATGCCCATTCACAGGTACTTTCTGCTCTATATTTCTTCCTAAGGAGTGTTTAAGATAGTGTTTGCTGATCTGACCATAAGAAGTGCTAACTGTGGTATAGGTAGGTGTGCATGCAAACACATTCTAAGAGTGAGAAGAAACTGCTTGGTATTGGAAAGTCAATTCTGTCCAATGGGCTGACCTTTTCAGTATCATGTGTCTCTTTCACATGCGTGTGATTATTTTTCTGTACTTCTGGTTTAACTCTCAGAAACAAAAGACTCATCAGTATTTAAAAGGCTCTTTGGAATCACTCAAACAAAACTCTATTTTATAGGTGAGGAAGTGGTCTGGTAAAAAGAATATAAATATTGGAGTAAGATAGAATTAGACTGTAATCCTGATTCTCCCTTTACTAAAGGTATGATCACTAAACTTCAATTTCCTCATTTATGAAATTGGGGATTTTATAGGGAAATAATTTTTTTCATTTCAGGTAAAGGTTATGTGAACTCACCACTATAAGGAATGAAAGGGGAGTAGTTTGTATTTATGTTAATTTAAATGTTGTCTAAATTAAGAAAATGAAAATATTTAACTAAATAATTTATAAATTATTTAGATACAAAAAACCTAACATTCTGTATTTATGAACTCTAACTAGCCAGCATGTGTCATTATCACTTATATTTTCTATATAGAATCCACAACCATTTATTCTTTAACTCAAAATAAATTCCTTAAAAAACAATCATACCTTCCTTTACTTTACTCTTCCTTTCTCTAATTCTTTCACTCTACAGTGTCTAAAAACATCTGAACATCTACTGGAAAAATAAAATAAACAATAATAAACTATCCTCCTCCCCTCAAATAGGCCTGTGTAAAATATATCTTGTCAACACAGAAAAGCCCCTTTGAGAAGTTTCCCTCTGTATTCCTCAATAGCCAGCCAGTATCCATTAAATTCATCTTTAATCTATTCACTAAATCACTTTAATCTATTCACTAAATCACTCAGGACTTGGCTGTTATAAGTATCACTCAATTCTGCCTATTTTTTTCTTTAAAGATCTACCAGATAGTCTTTTCTCAGTCTATAATCCTATGTGTATTGCAGGAACCCTTACATTGGAGGTAAATCAGTGAATGTACACAAATGTCTCCAAAATCCTAAATTCTATGAATCTACAAATTATCAAAGCATCAAGCAATTTCCAGTAAACATACCTCTCGTAAAAGACGTGGATCCAGGCAGTCACCATCATCATTAAACATGGACTCCCAGCTCTCCTCAGTAGCTGAACTTTCCTCCATGTGAGAAGTTTCAGTCGTTTTCGGTTCCATAGATGTCTCTATAGAAACTGATTCTATACCAGGAAAGGACATACCAAATTCTGTATTCTCTGAGTCATCTTCCTCTTTTGTTTTGAACTCTTCAGTTTTCAGTACATGCAATGCCTCCGTTATATCACTAGTACAATCTAGATCATTGTCCAAGGCACTATCTGAAAGTACTTTTGTCCCATTTAACATACTGAGTTCAGAGTCCAAAGAGACGTTACAATTACTACCAGCGATCTTTTTTATAGGCAAGGATGAAGCACAATCTGACGAGCTCTCTGTCAACTTTCCTAGTGACTCTGTGAAACTACATGAAATACTCTCAGCATAACTATCTGAGCAAGCAGTGAGGTTGCTGAAATTTTCAGTGTCACTCCCACCTCTAGCTACATGAAAAGGGGTTATGTCTGTACTCATTTCTAAATATTCTGAGAAACTACTTGTATTGCTATAGGCTTCACCAGCTATTCTAACTGCAACGACACAAGGGCTATCTACAGTTATTTGATCAGACATGGGATCTGTAATGTCCATCATACATGCCTTATTTGTAATGTCACCTACACTCTTAAACCCATTACCTATATCTGTTTCATGAGCAAGAGCAGCTGTGTCAGAAGGCTCATACTTTATGCATAACTCATCAGCAGTGTTGTCATTCTCCTCACACTCTCTAATCATCGTTGGCTCAAAAATGCCATCTGTGCTCTCTAATGTGTTGGCTGAAGTCATTTTATGAGAGATGTGACCCGTTGTCTCAGGAATGGAATCTATACCTTTCTGACCCAAGATGAAATCTATACTATTGGCTATGTCACCAACATTCTCAGCTTCAAAGTCTACACAAGGTTGATCAGTGACACCATCTGGACTTCCAGGAACAGGAATAGTGGTGATGCCTCCACTGCTGAGCTTCAACATTCCACCTGATGTTTGCATGCCTTGTTGCACAATTCCAGAATCAGAGCTTAATTTTACTGGTCCAATCATACTCTCAGGTCTTAAAACTCCAGATATCTCTACAACGTTGGCATTTGTTTCAATTCTGCTTTCTAAATCTCTGTTTTCAAATGTTTCCCGACTTAGTTCGAGCCTACTGAAATCACAGAATTCCACATTTTGGAATGGTCTGTTTAAAATTGGAGCCTCACAGATTTCTGAACAAGACAGAGATAGAGGCAACTTCTCGTGTCCTGTCACATCTGTGGTTTCAACCTCCAAACACTCTGCCTTCTTTGGTTTAAAATGTCTTTGTAAAGGTATACTAGGAACAGTCCCAGAATTTAGGACTCCTTGCTGATGTCCTTGGGATAGTATTTCTTTGGATTCTGTGGCTCCTCTCTTAGTACAAACCCTAACCTCATTGTTTTCTTGAAGGCACATGTCTTTTCTTAATTTTGTTGAAGATTTCTTTCCTTCCCTACGATTGTGCTCCTTTTTGTCAGGATAAATACTTAGTCTTTGAGTCTTAGATTTTTCTCTAAAGATCTCCTTTTGGGAGAGACAATTTTTTTGTTCTTCTTCCACCACAGAATTAGGTGAACCACAGCTTTTTTCCTCATCCCTTGTCTTGAGGAGTACTACATCCCTTCGAGCTTTAGGTACATAAAGTGCCATGTCAGGCCTTCTGGCTCGAACTCTGCATCTCACTGCTTCTTGCTGCATGGCACCACCTCAATCTGCAAGAAATAGAGAGAATGATTTAATTACAAAAAACAAATTACAATGTATTGAACCAAGAGATTTTTAAAAAGTTAGCGGGCCTACTAATCCATCCTACAGAAACCTTCAAGTTAAAAGAAAACCTGCCATAAAATAATTAATACAATCACATAAGCAACTAATAAAATTCCAAAACTGCCCATAAATTTTATCCATATATCCTCTTTCTTCATATTCCCCAAATCCTTTACCTCTACCTCCCAAGTGCTCTCTACTTTTTAAACAAGTAGCCTTGGCTTAGGCTGAATTAAAACAGATTATCTGAACTAGTATTTATCTAGTACTCATAAAACACAACCATCTCCATATTCTAGAAGGTCATAATTTACATTGAAGAATATACTCAAGGAGGACACCTAAAAATATATTGGCTCAACATAAATATTACATATAAGTATAATTTTTTAAGAGTAATAACTGAATGTGAGTAACTTGAATGTGGGCTAGGAAATAAGATGACTAATCAGGGACTGCTTTTGAACTATGATTTTTAGGAAGAAATAGGTACTGGGAGAGAGAAAGCCATTATTCTATTATTACTATTTAATCAAGTGACCTATTATAAATTGTTCTTCTTTCCAGCAGCAACAAAACAGGTCTGAGTAGAATGAAGAAGGGTGGAGGCCAAGGAATGAGATGAGACAATTCACACTAGTAACTTCCTGACAACCTCCACCATGGTTGCTCAATGGAACTTAAAAAGGGGAAATATTTAACAAAGGTTAAATAAACCTTTAACTACCAAAAAATATAAATAAATGTGCTAGACAATTTCATATTGAGTTATTCTTTTAATATTCAAAAAAGTAAAGTATGTATTAGGTTGTCCAGAATAAAGTGAATAAGGAGATGCTATATGTAGCAAAAAACAACCATAGACACTCAGAAGCACCCATTGTTAATTATTTCACCACATACATTTCAAAGGAAAGAGATAATAAGATGAAAAGAAAGGCTAAAAAATCCTGTCCACTCTATTCCAGATCCCTAAAACTTCACCTGATTCAGGTAACTTGAATGTGGGCTGCATGGCACCACCTCATGTTGTTTCCTCAGTAAAGGAGTCGTGCTCTCATGGCACAGGCTATTTTCTTCTCAGTCCAGGTATATACCATGACCTTGATTGATCCAGTGTCCCAAGTGATCTGCTTGTCCCTATTCTCTTATGATGTCTTAATTATCTAGCCCACCAATCTTCGTGGATTTTCTATTTTTGCATTTGTGGAAGAATATGACTTTAACATTGAGCCATGCCAGGATTTCTTTTAAATGCCTACTTTTCAAAGACAGAAGTACAAATGTGTATTCCACTGGAGGATATGCCATAGACATAGCATATCTTGATTTCAGCAAAGCATCTGGCAAAATACATTATGATGAACTTCTGTATATAAGATGGCGAAATGTGAGCTATGTAAGAGAACTGGTAGGTAGACTCACAACAAAAAGTAAGGATAATGGGCAGAAGTAAGTTTAGAGGTTATTTAAAGGAGAACTATGTCCCCATAGCCCTTTGAAATTCAACATTTTAAATAATCATTTCAATGTAAACAAAAGACATTGAGTGTTTATCAAATCTGCAATTGACTCCAAATAAAAGGATTAATAAATACCAAAAATTATAAAATTAAATTTAATATCATTTCTACAATCTAGAATGCTGTGCTAAAAGTAATATGAAAACACAAGCACGAATAACAATAACACCATGATCTGCTTTGAGTTAAAAAGAATCTAACAAATACTTGACCTGTGTACAATTTGTACAAGAATCTAATAGCTTTTACTTCATCTACAAAGTCATTAAGAGACCAAAGGTAGTGATTTAGAAGTTTAGAAAGGCAACAGTCTTAGATTACAGTCTAGAAAATATACCATACACTGTATGGTTAAAGGAACTAAAGATATACTTCTTGACCAAAGAAGTCTAAATAGGAACATCCCTGCTACCTTTATACCTCATAGGTTACTATACAGAACAAATTTTTTCTTCTATGTTTCTATGCTTCTATATTTCTGCAGAAGTTAGTACCAGAACCAAATGGTAAAAATAAAAATAAATAAATAAATAAATAAAAGCTTAGCTCAATAGAAAAAGAACTCTAGAGTTCTCCAACACTATTTTTAGGCAATAAACTCTGTATCTAGAATAATTTAAAACAGTATGAATGACTGACTGATACACTAGAGAAAAAATTTCTATCTGTAAAACAGATAGGTCTGGATTAATTTTAAACTAAATTCTATGATTCTATTTCTCATCTCTAACAGACATATATCAAAGGCTTCAAATTTAAAAGTATTATGTGCTGCCGAAACCGGTTTGGCTCAGTGGATAGAACGTCGGCCTGCGGACTGAAGGGTCCCGGGTTCGATTCCGGTCAAGGGCATGTACCTGGGTTGCGGGCACATCCCCAGTAGGAGATGTGCAGGAAGCAGCTGATCGATGTTTCTCTCTCATCGATGTTTCTAACTCTCTATCCCTCTCCCTTCCTCTCTGTAAAAAATCAATAAAATATATTTGAAAATAAATAAATAAATAAATAAATAAATAAATAAATAAATAAATAAATAAAAGTATTATGTGCTACAGCTAATGACTTTTAAATCTCAATTTTTCTTTTATTCTTAGTTAATGCCCACATATTGTCATAATACAATTTCCTAAAGCTGAATAACAGAATAATAAATTTATGCTATTATCCATTCCCTACCAAAACACTGAATTCAAGTATGACATGACCAGCGGTGTGCTGATAATGTTTAGCAACCAGTTTTCCAAATCTAGTTTGAAATAATGATTGATATTTTTGTTTATCTCAACGATGTAAACAATGTGAAGTAATAACTTTGCTTTTTTAAATCCTCATCCAAGGACATACTTAGGAAGGAGAGAGAAACATCGATGGGAGAAACAACTATGTGAGAGAGAAACAACCATCCATTGCCTTCCATAACAGGGACTGAACCACAATCCAGTTATATGCCCTGTCCGGGAATCCAACCTGCAACCTTTTGGTGCAGAGGACAACGCTCAACAAAGTGAGCCACTCTGACTCAGTTTTTGAATGGAAGGATATATCTTCAAATTTTTGAGCTATGACAATGTAATAGGTAAAGACATGACACTTTAAGTTTGCATTACTAGTATTTTGTCCATCACTTAAAGTCTAGACAATAAACAATAATGAAGCCCTGACTTAGGGCATTTGCCCAACTGCCATGTAGATATTCCTACTGTGGCTAATTTTAAGCTATCATTGTGGTAATGATACTAAACATGAAAATGGGAAAAGACATACAGTAGTACATCATGATACAGTATTTCAATCATAAGGTATAATAAACAAAAGTAATTCAAGGTCATGGATCATATTAATATGTAGTAAGATAACTACAAAGTGATGAATTTGAAGTATTTATTACATTTTTATAAATGACATTTATCTATATACTAGAGGCCCGGTGCACAAAAATTTGTGCACTGGGGGGGGGGGGGATGGATGGGTCCCTTAGCCCGGCCTGTGCCCTCTCTCAGTCTGGGACTCCTCAGGGGATGACCACCTGCTGGCTTAGGCCCGCTCCCCGGGGGATTGGGCCTAAGATGGCAATCAGGCATCCCTCTGGCACCCCGGCAGCCCTCGAGGGATGTCCACTTGCCAGCGGGGAGCAGGCCTAAACTGCAGTCGGACATCCTTAGAGCTGCTGAGGAGGCAGGAGAGGCTCCCACCACCACTGCTGTACTGGCAGCCATCAGCCTGGCTTGTGGCTGAGCAGAGCTCCTCCCATGTGAGAGCAACCTGATCACCAAAGGGCAGCTCCTGCATTGAGCGTCTGCCCCCTGGTGGTCAGTGTGTGTCATAGTGACCAGTCATTCCCAGTCTTTCTGCTGTTAGGGTCAGTTTTCATATTACCCTTTTACTATATAGGATAGAGGCCTGGTGCATGGGTGGGGGCCGGCTGGTTTGCCCTGAAGGGTGTCCCAGATCAGGGTGGGGGTCCCACTTGGGTGCCTGGCCAGCCTGGGTGAGGGGCTGAGGGCGGGTGACTGAAGCTCCCAACCTCTCCTTTTTTTTCTTTTTCTTTTTTTTTTATTCTAGGATTTATTTACCTTCTATGGCTGTCACTGGAGCTGAGAGCCAGCTTTAGCTCTGAGGCTCAGCTCCAGCTTTGAGACCTCGGCTGCTGAAAGCAGGTATCTGGCTTTGTTTGGGTTCTATAATTGTAACACTGTTGCGGTCCTGCTCGCTCCAGCTCTGATGGCTGAAAGCAGGTTTCTGGAACTTGTTTAGGTTCTATAATTGCAACATTGTTTCTTAGAGTGCAAGCTCAGAGGCCGGCAGCAGCAGGAGGGGAACCTTGGCTTCCTCCATCACTGGAGCAAGCAAGCCTCCTGTTTGCTTCAGCTGCCTGGCTGCCGGCCGCCACCTTGGTTGGCAGTTAATTTGCATATCGCCCTGATTAGCCAATGGGAAGGGTAGCGAAGTTATGGTTAATTACCATGTTTCTCTATTATTAGATAGGATATAAAAAGTCAGTGACTGAAACGCTGAAACGACAGGTTGCTATGACGCCCACTGCAGCCAGTGAACCACCCGATTGGGAGTGGGGCTGGCCGGCCAACCTCCTGTGGCCCCTCTCCCCCCAACCCCTCACCCCTTTAACCCCCTTACACCACCAGCCCTGCTCCCAATAGGCCTCTCCCTCAAGGCCGGGGTGGCTGGCCAACCCCCCTCCCCCGCAACCGTGGCCTCTCCCCCTGGCCGGCCCCGTGCCCTATCACCCCCCCTTACCCCAATAGGGGGCAGGGCCGGCTGGCCAACCTCCTATAACCCCTCCCCCTGCCTGGCCCCACCCCAGATCAGCCCCCACACTCCGATCAGGGGCAGGGCCAGCAGCCAACTGCCCGTGGCCCCTCCCCCCACTAGCCCTGCCCCGACTGAACCCCCGTACCAAT